CATGATAAAAAATATTGATATCCAACTTTCCCCACTCGCTTATCTATTCGATGATTAAAGGACTGCATCAATCAGTGAAGCCTAACAACTGTGCATACTTAACAAGAAATGTACACTAAAAACAGTTTTTGAAGCCAGATTAGTATGGAACTTGAAATAAGCATACTCCTGAAACTCTAAAGCATATCTATAGTGTTGTGCAAAACACTAAAATGGTCCTAAAGACATGTAAACAATGAATTAAGATTCATGCAAATAAATATTTAAACAACATGCTAGCCTCCCAAATCTTATCAAACCAAATATTTTTTCAAAGTGATGTTTTAGCTAACACCCAACTTTTATGCATGGAACTTGCTCATCGCAGCCCATATCGGGATATATAATGGAACAATCATTCATGTGCAGCTCTAAAAATTCAACCAACAATTTCAGAGCAGCTATAAAGTAGCTAACTATAGGCAGTAGAAAAAATGCATGTAGGGGCGACAATCATGTGCTATTGGAGAAATAAAGAATTCATGTTGATCACATTACATACCACATCTAATTCTAAATTGAGATTGACAATATGATGGGATAATTGCCAATTTTGACAAAGGATCTTAGCCTTCAATACGAATTTGACACTAAAAACTTCAAACTACATGGAGTCGATGTCTTACCATTGGAGCACACAACAAGCCTATATCTAGAATGTGATCAACCGGATTGGAAATGAGTGTAATCAGATCTGCAATGTTGTGCAGAGTATGGAATTAAAAAAAAGGTCGCCACCAGCCTCCACCGCCAGATCCGGGAGAGGGAGGGCCGGATCCGGGAGAGGGAGGGGCGGCGCTGGGGAAGAAGGCCGGGGAGGGGCGGCGCCGGGGATCACCACCACCACGCCAGCACCAAGAAGCCTACCGCCACGCCGCACGCCGCCCGCCGCCCGCCACCACCAGAGCCCAGATCCGGCCTCCACCGGTCGGATCCGGGAGAGGGAGGGCCGGATCCGGGAAAGGGAGGGGCGGCGCCGGAGAAGAAGGCTAGGAGGGGGCACTGGGAAGAAGAAGGCCGGGAGGGGGGCGCCAGGAAGAAGGGAGGGGCGGCAAGGGGGGGGGGGCGCTGGGGGCCAAAGCCAGGAAGAAGGGAGGCGCTAGGGTTGGTGCGGAGGAAGAAGAAGGGAGGGGAGGGCCAGCCTGGGTTCAAAAGGGCGCCGGGTTCGGGTTTTGGGGCGGAGGAAGAAGAAGGGAGGGGAGGGGAGGGGGGGGCCAGGGTTGGTGCGGAGGAATTAAGGGAAGAAGAAGGAGGGTCCCGCTTTCGTTTGAATTTTTCTCGTGTGTACGATATTTTTCTATGCGTTTTAAGAACCGACACAATAATTTGTATTTTTCTCGAGAGTGTTGATTTTTTTCCGTGTGTATATTGCCACACACGAAAAAATCTTTCAGTGAGTTTTCGTATTTTTTCACGAGATATTTTGGAACCGACAGAAAAATCATAATTTTTCTATGCGTACCAAAAAACGCATGTAAAAAATTAAACACCTGACGTAACAATTCGAGTTTCAGTGAGTGTAAAACCGTGCCTGGCTTTCAACCTTCCACCCCGATGCCTCGACGCCTCTCTCCACCGCCTCAGTAGCCTCTCATAGTCACATCTCCTCTCGATCGGAGATGCTACTTGACGCCTGCTGGCCACTCCATGAGACCACATTAGGGAAGGACCTTATCTACATAAGTCCCAACTAGTTTAGGGATACTATTCGCCCGTCTAGAGGGACAAAGGAGACAAATGTTGAGCAGGAAGTTAAGTTTAGGGATACTGTTTGCACTCATATAGTAACCGAAGCAACCAAGGAGACAAATGTTGAGCAGGAAGTTAAGTTTGCTACTGAACATGAACCAGATAAACCCCAAGTTGATCCCAAGCTAGGCTCTAAGCATCATGACTCCTTTATTGAACTGTGTAACTTAACTACAGTACCTAATATGTAAGCTTACTTATGTATGCTAATGCCCTATAACAACCCACTTGTAGCCTTATTCGTTGATTGTTCGCTCCATACCTTTGAAGTATTGCGTGTTTGTTTCCTAGATCTTCATGCTTAGTTTGCTTAGAACGGCAGAAGTTGAGCATGTGATGGGTTTCTCACTGCTCGTGCGAGATTGTAATTTGCTTGTTTTAGCTAATGAAAAAATAGAAGCAATGAGCTAAAATATGACTAAGGCCATCTCCAGTGAAAAAAACACTAGGAAAAGCAAAGCGATGTATCATCTGATGTTGGTATATGAATGAATCAAACCCATCGCCGAAGGAAGCGAACCATGGAGGAGAGATAAGAATTGATTCATGTGTTGGAGTCGACTACTCGATGAATAAAAATGAATTTGCCCCACTTTTGAGCCATGTTGCCTACCCGTTGCCGTTACTCGTCTAGGACAAACAAGATCACATGGGCGCCATGGATGTCCGCCGATCACCATGTTTGAGAGGCCGGTAAATTGGCCAGGGAATGGCTTGGGTAGCATATCAAAGAAGATTCAATGTCGCATGGAACATGCCTATATGATGTCACAGAGGCCAATGGCTCACGCATAATTCAAACTATAATAACCGAGTTGTGATCCAAATAGGCCCTTATTTCAAGTACTCAGAACTTTGTTCAATTAACTTCCCTATGTAAACATCGTGACTGAATATATTTTCATTCTATACAAATCCTATATCTCCTAACTACCTCAATCTCCTAATTAATCTCCTATAAGCACCGAACCAGCTTCACGTACACACAATGTCATTGCCGTTCCTACAAAACCCAGCTAATCTAACTCTGCGGGATGTGAGACTGGACGATATGGTCGGCGAGCGCTTTGTAGGTGGCCTGCGTCGGGTGCACCGAGTCGAAGAACATGAACTGCGCCGGAGACCGGCACTGCGGCAGCGCGCTAGTGCACAGCGCCCCCATCGCCAGCAGACCGTTCCCGCAGCAGCCTTGGCTCGTCTCGGTGAAACCTGCAACGCACGCAGCAAAGACGAATCAGCAGGTGCTCAAGCTCAATCGATCTAGCTAGCCTAGTTTATTTCCGCAGGCTGTGGATCTGTTGCCGCTCACCATATTTCTGGGGCTGCGTGACCATGTCCATCAACGGGGTGTACACGTCGACGTACGCAAGCGTGGCGCCGGGGGACGCGGCCTCCAGCTTGGTCAGCATCTGCTGCAGCGCCGCGTTGTACCGCTCCGCGGCCGCGTTCTGGTTGGCGACGGAGCCTCCTCCCGACGCCAGATTGAGACTCCTCGTCACCGGCAGGCACCCCACCGGCGGCAGGCCGGACACCATGAAGTTCCGGGCTCCCAGATTGTACAGGCTCTGTATTGTTAGTTAAGGAAAATAAACACCATCATTAGCGATAAAAGTTACTAGCTAGTCTTACCATTAATAACTAGATTGATTCAAAACGTACCTGAATGTATCCCTGGAGCCTGCCGATGAGGTAGTCACTGTACTGGTCGATGGTGGGGAAGCTGACGGTCCGGACTGGCAGGATGAAGTAGTTCATGGTGACGTCGTTGGTGCCGGCGGAGATCACGTACAGCGACCTGCTGGCGATCTCGGCGGCCTGGGGCATTCCGATCTTGCCGAGCAGGTCCTGGAAGTCGCCGATCTGCGAGCCGAACGTGGACACCATGGCGGCCTGCGCGGTCAGGTCGTCGAGGCCGGACCCGCCCGACGCGAAGCTGACCCCCGTGGAGGCCTCCGCGACGGTGAGGCCGCTGTCGCGGTACGCCGGGAGGACGTCCTTGACACCGAGCGACTCCACGATGTAGTCGGTGATGAGCTTGCCGTCCGAGAACCGGCCCGTGGCCGCGGCCCCCGGGAAGCCGCAGCCGTAGGGTGCGTGGTCCGCGCGCACCAGCGTGGCCAGGCCGTTGTTGTTCCCCGGGTCCAGCGTCGAGTCCCCGAACGCGAACACGGCCGGGATGCCGCTCGTCGGCGCTGCGGTGGCCAGAGTCGAAGCGAGGAGCAAGGCGGCGAGGAAGAACGCGACGGCTGCTGCCAGGGCTCGCGCCATTGCTTCGTGCTGTCGAAGGTTGGCGTGCTTGACTGCTTGGCACCCTTGGTATGGTTTGCGGGGCAAAGGCACAGGTGACATTATATAGTGCATGCGTGATGCGTGGGAGGGGCACGCACGTACGGGGTTATGGCACACGCGTCGAAGGTCGGTGTCATGCCTCATGCGTTGCCACGCCGGATGGTCGGAGGAAGTGACCAGCATCCGCACGTTCTCAATTTCCTCTGTTTTTTTTCCGTCTTTGGTGAATTTGGTGTTGTGGCCTCTATCTGTAACTTTGGAGTAATGAAACCGGTCTCCGAACTCCGAAGTGGCCTGCCTGGTAGTAAGATTGATCGCGCAACAATGAAAAGTGCGCGAAAGTTTTGGCTTGCGCAACCAAGGATTCTTTCTAACGCAAAACGCACCGCGTGCAGATGAATTCTTTTGATCTCATCCAGTTATGTCAAATTTTGTATTATACCCACATAAATCTTGCACAAACACATCATTTTGTATTATACCCACATAAATCTTGCACAAACACCTTACACCTGGGAATTCTGATAAAGAAGGTCGGTAAGTATGGGCCACGTTTCTTCCTTGTCCTCCAGGGCCCAAGCCCAATCATCAAACACAACAAAACTCACCAGTCGGCCGACGCGCGCAGCCACAGCCCATAAGCCAATAACCATCTCCCTTTTGTCCTCGTCCCGGCTCTGCGAGACCGCGACCGCGACGCGCGGCCCCGCGCACCGTGGGCACCCGAGAATCCAGTAGGCACACCGTATCGCCCGAGAGCATATGCCCGTCCGCCCCTCGGCCTTTCGCTGTCACGGTGTGCTCCTGTTATCCCCTCCCCGGCTCCCCATCCCGCTCTCGTCGCCTCTACGGCTCTACCCGCCGGCCCACCCGCCCGCTCCCTCCCCACTGCCGCACTGCGGCACTGCCCACCACCAAAACACATGGCCTCTCGCGCGCCCACCCCTCCTGCTCCTCCCCACCTCCGCCTCCACGCCGCGTCCCTCTCCTCGCCGCGCCTCCCACTCCCGCACACGCGCGCCCCGCGCTGCCGCGGCGGACGGAGCCGCCTCCTCTCCGCGCTGCCATCGCCGTCCCCCTCGCCGGCCTCGCGCTCGCAGGGCGTCTCCACCGCGCCGATCGAGCGCGAACCACCGGGACCCGCGCCCGCGCCGCCTCCCCCAGCTCAGCAGCCGCAGCCGCAGCCCCGCCGGGACCCGGCGATCGCCGCGGAGGTCGCGCGCCTCTCCGCCGCCCGCGAGAGGCTCCGCGCGGCGCGCACGCTCCGTGACAAGCTCCGCGCGCTCGACGCGGAGCCCCGCGTCGCGGCGTTCTTCGGCAAGGAGTCGAGCCGCGGGGTGCTGGGCGCGCTCGAGCCCCGCGAGGTGCTCCTGCTGAAATGCCTCGTCGCGGCAGGACAGGAGCACGTGCTCGGCCGTGAGCTCGACTGGTACGGCGGCGACGGCCACCACGAGCACCACCACCGCAACGGGGCGAGGGGTGGTAGTGCCCTGCGGGATGCGCTGTATAGCCTGGCCGGTTTGGTCGGGAAGTGGACCTCGGAGGGAGTGGTGGGTGGCGAGAAGGGGAGCGAGGAAATGGGGGGTGCTCCCTAGACTGCTCAAGTTCCTTGACAACATCGAGGAGTTCTACGACTGCATTGGAGGCATCATCGGGTGAGCATTGCTTGCTTGTATGTGGGAGTAAACGACGAAGTAGCACAAGTAGCCAAATTTGATACGTGCTGGAATCAGAAGTTAGTAACTGAAAAAGGTGCAAAGTAGTAACAGCATTTACGAGCTATGGCATCATATTTAAAATTGCAGTCATACGGGAAGGTGAGTTGAGTCATGTTTTGAAACTATGAACCTTCGAACACATTTGATTAACATTAACTGGATGGCCCTAACAAAGGATGCAACTGGTTACACCTAGTGGGACGTTTAACTAGTTCAATTTTATCTCGGTCCCCTTGCTTTGAAATCCGGATCAGTTCAATCAGATGAGTTTTGGGTCGACCCAATGACCAAAAAAAAAAACAAGACGTGCATCCCTAGTTCTAACTTATCCCTTAAGCCATTTTGTTTATCTGGTTGTTAATCTGTTATATCTAGAAGAGTATTAGTAGTATTGATGTTCTTTACTTCCTTTATCCACGTCAGCTATCAAATTATGGCATTGGAGTTCCTTTCAGCCTCTAAGGATCACATGCACCGACCTAGCAAAGACAAGTTTGTTGATTTCCATGTTCCCAGTGGACTTAATTTGTTGGAGGATAAAGAATATGCATCTCAAGCAGCTCTGTGGGGAATTGAGGTTATTTCGTTTTACAACATTACGACATTATCTGAAATTTACGATAAGGATGTCAATACTTGGTTACTGTTCTTATTTCAAGTGCAAATTACATTGAGTAATGTTGCACATTAAATAAGGCATCTGTATTCTGTTGTAAGGTACAAACTGAAATATGATGTTTTCTAGGGTTTGCCAGAACTAGGTGAAATTTACCCAATTGGTGGTGCGGGTGATCGTCTTGGTTTAGTGGACTCAGATACTGGTGAATCCTTTCCTGCTGCGTTGCTCCCTTACTGTGGGAGATCTCTGTTGGAAGGGCTGATAAGGGATCTGCAGGTAACTTGTTGTGCATATGAAATTCCTCTTTGCATGTAGTTTCTTTTTTACCGACTTATGGTATCTACATACAATATGTTTCTTTGCATATAGTTTCTTCTACTGTAACACCTGTTTTTACACACTTTGATCATGTCCGCTTAAGAAAGGGATATCATTGTTGCAGCTAGTTTTTTCAATTGCTTTTTGGTTGTGTAAGTGCCTTGTTATTTTTGGATTAGTTATGTTTGTAAAGGCTTAAAATAGCTATAAAGCTCTATACCCAGTTATTATATAATAATGTGAAGCGCTACTTTGTTTGGCAGGCTAGAGAGTTTCTCCACTTCAAGATCTTTGGAGGTCAATGTATAACCCCAGTTGCAATCATGACTAGTTCTGTGAAGGATAATCATGAACATATAATTGCAATATGTGAAAGACTTGATTGGTTTGGTAGAGGCCGTGACAATTTCCGGTTGTTCGAACAGGTATATAACCAGGGACTTATATAATATATCCATCCATTAGAGTGTTCGTTTGTAGTCTGTAGAATCGGAATTTAATCATTCTGCCCACAAGTTTTATGAAGCTCTTACTAAATTTCTTCAATGGTATCTGTAGCCTTTGGTACCTGTAGTAAACGCCGAGGATGGTAAATGGTTAGTCAGCAAATCATTTTTTCCTGTTGGTAAACCTGGTGGTCATGGCGCTATTTGGAAACTTGCATATGATAGAGGTGTACTCCAATGGTTACAAAATTGTGGCAGAAAAGGTGCAACTGTACGCCAAGTCAGGTTGTCCGCTGAATGATCTCTTTTCCTTTTTGGGGTGTCAATCAATAAAACATTTTGACTGGATATATATATTTTTTTTGAAAAAGCATTTTGACAGGATATAATTGTGGATTTTGTTTGTTATTTTCAGCAATGTGGTTGCTGCAACTGATTTGACCGTGATGGCATTGGCAGGAATAGGCCTTCGATGCAATAAGGTAAAAGAAAAGGCATTAAGTACTATCCTATTTTGAGGTGGCTCCCGTGTGTCTCTGATACAAGTCATTATATAATGTCTATTTTTGCACCATCAAATTGGTAGTCTGTTGTTTGAAACTCTTTGAGTTGACATCATGCTTCAGAAATTAGGTTTTGCATCTTGTGAGCGAAGACCGGGGGCTACTGAAGGAGTGAATGTCCTTATTGAGAAACAAAATCTTGAGGGGCTATGGTCATATGGCATCACTTGTATTGAGTACACTGAGTTTGAAAAGTATGGCATCCCAGAACCTACAGTAACCAGCAGGTAATATTTCTTTAGGTCATTCTCAGCTGCATAAAAACCATGCACTCTTGAAATTGGAATGCAAGTATGCACATACTCTCTCTCTCTCTCTTTTGGGGAGAGGTGGGCAATTCACTTATATTCCAACAATATTTTGTTGGACTAAGCTTCACCTGGATGGCAATCATTTGTTGGTATTACATGATGATGATCATAGTTTTAGAACATTTGTGTTCCGTGCTTCTTACCTCTTTCAAAGAATAGCTGCTTCAGTTCAGTCAGTTTGATTGGATGCAGAGAACCAGTGATGTGTTTAGGACTGATATTTTTCTCTATAAGATTACAGTTCAATATTGGCAATATCTTATCAATTATTTTATCATATATGTTTCTCTCTAAATTTAGTTCGTGAGGTTAGCTTTCCAGCAAATACGAACATTCTCTATGTTGATCTACAAGCAGTAGAGGAAGTTGGATCCCGCAAAAATGCTAGTTGCTTACCAGGGATGGTGCTAAATTTGAAAAAGGCAGTATTGTACGTCAACCATCTCGGCTTTGAGTGTAGGTATTTCCTTTCAGTAATTCACCTTAAACTTCTAATATTGTTTATATGCCCACTGGCAACCCTTGAGTTTTTGGTAGTGGATGCTTAGGGTTAGGCTTATCAGTTATCACATGATGATTTCAGAAGTCAGCATGGCTATTCATTTGCCGCATCAGTTATTCATGTATAAAAGACTTGTCTTTATCAGTTTGGCCTAAACTCATTCTGTATTGCTTTGTGGTTGATGTACATTGGCAAGTAAACCTGCAAGTAACTGCACTGAGGTGGCTATGCTTATTTCTAGTGAATAATAGATAATAGATAGGCCCCTAAACATGAAAAGTGTTCAAACTGGACCCTGTTCTTAATACTATGATAGAAGTATATATAACAAATTGTATAATCGTAAATCACCTGGCAAGGTGAGGCAAGTGCAGCGAGGTAACATGAGTGGAGGAAGAGAACCAAACACGCCCAAAATTTACAGCACTACAATCAGAATCACATTTTGGAGTAGTTTGCCTTGCTTCCCCTCTATCTTCTTCTCCAGCAGTTAGAACCTGCATATGCACTCAGCTGCCAAGGCATGCGGTGGAGATCAGATCCTGGCCGATTCCTGCATCTATTCGAGCCACGACAGGGAAGGAAGCAACATCAATTGGAGTTTGTGATGATTGATTCGGGGGAGAGCAGCACGAATTTGGACTTGAGTTTCACTGGCCGGAGAGCAGCTAATTTGCGCTTGTGTAGATTGGTTTGATGGGTAGCAGTAGATTGCTATCCACCTATCCTTCTGCTGCCAAGCAGCAAGTCCTTTTGAGGTTTGTGGAACAAGAAACTTGATCCCAGTGTCAACTCCATGGCCCAGCGATGTGGAGGTCAACTTGCATCACAAGGTGCTGGGTTCTGAAGTGAAGGCGCCCGATTCAAACAAGGAAGCTCGATTTCAACTACAAGGTGCTCGGTTTTTACCACAAGTTGCTTTATAAGCGCTGTGAGTTCATTAATCCGGTGGGAAGGCATTGATTCAGCAGGGACTGTCACTCCAGTGGATGCGGAGGAGCTTGTTCAGAGAGGAACAATGCCAGCAAAGCCAACCTTGCCTGCGCATGAGAGCCAATTTGTCTCACCAGCGTTGGCATGAAAATCCTTGCCAAGTTGAGCTAGATTGCAGGCCAAAGCCAGTTTTTGAGACTGCCAAACGCACAGCCTTGGCATGCTCTTTATGTACTATTACGTTGTGATGAGTATTGACGACATAATTGCTTCTGTAAGATGTTGTCTTGTAACTTGTATGTGGGAATAAATTGGCATATATACGAAAGTCACATTTAATTATTATGGTCTATTGCTTATTCCTTTTAAGTCATTTATTATGATTCTACTGCTTATTCTTTTCAATCATTTTTTTTGACAGTGCGACTGGAGGCAGGCTAGAGTGCACAATGCAAAACATTGCAGATGATTTTATGAACACTTATAACTACAGATGCAGCAAAGGAATAGAAAGTATGTAGGTAGTTAACATTTGTTAACCGATTTATTAATTTTTTCTGTGCAGCTATTTATTCACTTCGTTATGTTGAGTTTTAGCTATTTCATATTTAACAGGTGAGCTTAACACTTTCATTGTATATAATGAAAGGAAAAGAGTCACTTCATCAGCTAAAAGGAAGCTGAAATCAGAAGACAGATCATTGCACCAGGTTAATATTTTTACCCTGTCTTCCAATGCATAGATTCACATGCCAATCGGTGCAGAACTGCATATTAACAATGCTGGCCTTCTACCTTTCCTTAGTATATACAATAATAAACTTTTTGTCGACATTCCTGTGTAGATGTACATTTTGTAAAGCAGTGAATCACACAAACTTGCTTTTCCATACAAACTGTAGAAGTAAAATTGTCTTGTGTTGTTAGTTACTTTGTGTTCCTCAGTTTTGTGTTCAGTAGGTCAGCAATCAGCAATGTGTGGCGCCAAGTATGCTGCCTGATATGCTGATGTTGACTTGAATGAGTTTGGTGGCCCTAATGGGCCTGCCAGGCCTTATTTTCTTAATGAAGTGGCATTAGTTCTGCACCTACAGCTAGATAGCTCAGCCCATTCTCTTACAGAGATAAAACTGCTTACTTGCTTAATTTCTTCTGGAGACAAGGTGTGTTGATAATAGCATGATAATATTGACATAACATCTTTTCTGAAACTATTACATCTGTATGTTGTTGTTAAGTCTTATGTTATAGAACTTGCAGTTGTAACTTAGCTGAAATTATTTCTGACTCATGTTTCAAAATATACACTTTGGTTGATCTACAGACTCCAGAGGGTTCACTCCTTGACATTATGCGTAATGCTCATGACCTCCTTTCCAGTTGCAGCATAGATATCCCCATGGTAATTGTACTTCTGTACTTTGTCTGTCTATGAATTTATTTCACATTTGGCATGAGTTAGCCTTCCATGTGGTATTACCTACAGCATTTTGCTGGACTATCTTTTCTCATAATCTATTTTAAGTATTTTTAGTCCTGAAGTGTTTTTCTTTTAATTTATTTAAAACATTTTCAAACATCAGGTTAAAGACAACAGCTAGTATATGCATTCTGGACCGCCATTTCTCATATTTCTTCATCCTGCTCTAGGCCCATTTTGGGATATCATACGACAAAAGGTATGGCATCCAGGCATTGTATGCATTTGATGGGTAAACATGATATCGGTATCTTTCTTCTCCCCATTATTAGATAATTTATTCTACCTGAGATGTCTTTGAGCTGCAACTGGCCAAGCAAGATTCAGAAGGGCAGAGTTATTTTCCTTTGTAGTCCACTTTGCCTATGTAGTTTTGAGCAACAAGACTGACAAGGCAATTGCTTACCATCACTCATGAACATTGAGCATAACAAAACCTATCATTTGACAGTTCTTGACACATGTCATGGTATACTCTTTGATCTGCATTTAGCTTACATATACCAAGGATTCTGTCAAAAATGAACATTCTGTTGTTTGGGACAGCACATATCATTACCGCAATATCTGAACGCAGACTAAGCACCTTTCACTGTTACCTAATGTGACATAATGGCATGTTCCTAATATCTTATATGCATAAAATGTAACGTTGAGCTTGAGCATGTTGTGCATGAAAGATATGAACTGTTGTGAATGTTTGTAGATGGTTCACTTGCAGCACAAGAAACTTGAAATTGAATGAAAGACTAATTGCTTGTGTCATGTCAAAAGATAAAAAAGGAATGCGGTAGAATTACCATTACAAACGTTCTGTGAGATGGGAAAGCTGGTCCTTGCTCCATGCTGCCCTGTGTAGTGTGGAAGATCCTCACGGACTGTTATGCTCAGTTGCTAGTGCTTGACTTATTACTTCTAAACATTGTCTATATCTTTCGCTCTATTCTTTGCCTTGTCTACTTTTGGTGGTCACCAAAATGTCTCCATGAAGTTCGTAGGTGGTTCTGTTTCTAATGGTTCAGAGTTGCAAATAGAGGTGGCTGAGTTTCTATGGAAAGATGTTGAGGTAACAATCAAAACGATAATTTTTCATGTTACTTTGCCTGTTTGTACAAACTAAGTTTGTTATGTTAAATTCTTAAAGCTGGATGGAAGCCTTATTATTCTAGCTGATAACATCATGGGTTCAACCAAGAAGAACAAAAATGGTGAACAGATACTGCACTATGGTTCCAGGTTGTAACCTACTTTTAAACACATGGTTGCTATAAACATCTATCCAGTTAGTATGGAACTCTAATGCCACGTTTGTTGAAAGGTGCGGGAGATGCAGACTTCAAAGTGTTAAAATTGTGAACGAAGGGATCAACTGGACTTCTCCAAATAATGTCTATTGGAAGCATGATGTGGAGAGATCAGAATCTGTAAAGATTATTCTTCATGGAAACTCAGAATTTGAGGCAAAAGATGTAGTCTTGAAGGTGCAATTATTAATAGACAGCATATTTTTTTGATTTGTTGTTCTTTGTCTTATTTTTTCCCCTTGTTTTGTTAGGGTAACCATGTATTTGAAGTACCCAATGGTCATAGAATGTGCATCATTCAGGACAGAGCAGGTTTGTTAATTAGCAGTGGCCTATGATTCTTTCTGTGCTCTTTTTTATTCATTTGCAAGTTGATGAGTGGGTGAACATTTTAGATTTTACTTTGCAAGTTGTGAAATTTGTTGGCCTCCAGCCGCCCACTAGATATAGCCATTTAGGTCAATTATCCATTCTAATTACAAATTTGTGTTCTGAAGTGTGAATCATTTTATTCCTGCTATTATGTGCAATGGATATAACAACAACAACAACAACAACAAAGCCTTTAAGTCCCAAACAAGTTGGGGTAGGCTAGAGTTGAAACCCAACAGAAACAATCAAGGTTCAGGCACGTGAATAGCTGCCTTCCAAGCATTCTTATCTAAGGCTAAGTCTTTGGGTATATTCCATCCTTTCAAGTCTCCTTTTATTGCCTCTACCCAAGTCAACTTCGGTCTTCCTCTGCCTCTCTTCACGTTACTATCCTGACTTAGGATTCCACTACACACCGGTGCATTTGAAGGTCTTCGTTGCACATGTCCAAACCATCTCAACCGGTGTTGGACAAGCTTTTCTTCAATTGGCGCTATCCCTAATCTCTCACGTATATCATCGTTCCGAACTCGATCCCTTCTTGTATGCCCGCAAATCCAACGCAACATACGCATTTCCGCGATACTTAGCTGTTGAATATGTCGTCTTTTCGTAGGCATGCAATGGATATAACTTGGTCAAATTTCGTTCTCATTAAGAGTAGTAATAGTCCAACGGAGACCTTCAGAGGCACCGGTGCATAGTGGAATCCTAAGCCAGGATAGTAATGTGAAGAGAGGCAGAGGAAGACCGAAGTTGACTTGGGTAGAGGCAATAAAAGGAGACTTGAAAGGATGGAATATACCCAAAGACTTAGCCTTAGATAGGAGTGCTTGGAAAATAGCTATTCACGTGCCTAAACCTTGATGGCTTCTGCTGGGTTTCAACTCTAGCCTACCCCAACTTGTTTGGGACTTAAATGCTTTGTTGTTGTTGTTGTTGTTGTTGTTGTTGTTGTTGTTGTTGTTGTTGTTGTTGTTGTTGTTGTTGTTGTTGTAATAGTTAGATTTCATAAAAGATTCATGCATACATGCATAAAAATAAAATATTTTTGGGTTGAAAGTTCGCTTCTATCTTTACTCCCCCACCCCACCCCACCCCACTATTATGTCATGCACCCAACGTTCCTGATGAATGAATTCCTTCTTGTCCAACAGGTTTTGTTGTTAAATTGGATCTTATACGCGACGATCTGATGGACAGTGGAACCTGGCATTGGAAGTATGCAGTTGATGGCGTCCATGTAAAGTTGAACATGGTAGAACTATAAGGGGTATCAACTATAGATTCTTGATTCATTGATTTCCGGCCAGCTTAATTTTATTGAGGGCACACTTGACGTTGGCTGACTTTAGTCTAGATTGTAGGTGATGACATGTTGTAAAGATAAGGGAGCTTTGTTTTCGTACAGTACATCTGAACTATTCCCTTCATTGAAGAGTTGATGTACAAGAATAGATAATTTTCAAATATGAGGAGAATACTCGTTCTCCGAAGTTATCAAAGAACTTGTTGTATTTGTGTTAGTTTGTGGGTGTCAGACTGTCAGTGGCACCCAGTTACAGCTTATTAGTAGATTTCAGGTATGTCAGAATCGCCTCTCTTAGTAAAATGTTAGTCTGTTAATTATATTACCTTTCGGATTTGGATGTTTCAACCATTTTGGTGCTTTTCAGGAATTTTTTTTGAATGCGATGGAATTCTTTTATTTTACTGCAGCATTGTAATCGATCTGGAACATTGGTGATGAAACCTGAAACTGGCTACTTCACAGATAAGGAGAACTATGTACTGTACAAAATAATTGGGTCTGAGGTAACTGAATATGTGTTAACACTTAACAAAGTTAAAGCTCAACATGGTGTTACAGTTGAGCTTTATCGACACAGGTTTGTGTATTGTCTGCATGTCAGTGTTGTTTTGAACTGAATAGCACAGTCAAAATCACTTTTTCAGATTCTCCTTGAATCGCTATTCAAAGATGCTGACTTATATTTTACAAACAAAATTGATTTGCCGAAATGTATTCTTTGAATGAATGGCATCTGCATAGTCATATTAGACATTCTTATTACTTAAAGAATGTTTGCTGACTTATAACAAAAATGCTATACCATTCTATTTGATTTAGTAAATTGGTTTGCACCATCTTCAAAAATAAAAATGGTATTCACTTGATTTATTGGATCCTCTACCAATGGCTGAGATATCAATTTGCAATTGTGCATTTTATAACATGCAAACCAGATTGTCTGAGCTATTAATTGTTTGCTATAAGATCCACATTTTCGTAGTATTAGTTGGTCAAGTTGTACATCAATTTTGGCGTGATCTAAGTTCAAAAAACCTAGTTTATGTGTCTGTATGGTGTTTCATCTTGCTACGGCATTTGGAGCAGCACGTGTTACCAGCACCACAGATGTTTTCCATTTGACTGTTAATTTAACTCCATCCCAGCAATTGAAGGTTGCTTTTCTGTAGTTTTATTAAGCTTACATGTTACATGACGTTTAAAGGGTATATTTCGCATTATTTGTGATTCACCTTTTCACAAGTAATGCCAAATATAAATGATATCTAGTGCAACCCAGCCCTAAGGTTTAGCTGTTTGACTTGGTGCATAAATAATTGATCGGATAGCCGCCGTATTAATTCAGTACTACCTGTTACCCAGATACTAAGCTAAAGCGGTGACATTGTCCACTAGATTCACCTCGCCAGATCCAGGAGGCAAGCTTGAAACTGATTACTTTATTATGGCTCCAGAAGAAGATTATCTCAACTTGGTGACTCAATGATTCAG